AATCTAAATAATTTAACTATTTTTTCACAAAAAAGTTAATGTCTATTTATCAAAGGAGTCAATACCGTACCATACCGATCGGTACGTACCGGTTTTAAAGGTTAACCGAAACGAAATAAGTTAAGATTTTGTTTCGGTCAAATTTCGGGTGTACCGGTCAAATTCAATGTACCGCCCGAAATTTTGGGTACCGGTTGGTACATCGAAATTTGACCGGTACACTATGCAAGAAGGAAAAAAAAAAAAAAAGAATCCCCAGCCTGGCGGCAAGACCGCAGGATACCCAGGCGATAACCCGATCAAGCGGCCATAGTCCTTCGGAACCAACAGGAGCGTCGCGGTGGGCGTTAGATCTGGCAGCCCTCGCGCGCGCCGCCATAAATCCGCCGGAGGAGAAAGAAAGCCGCCAGATCTGCACCGAACAAAGCAAGAAACAGCAAACAAACAAAACAAAGCAACATATAAACAAACAAACCAAAAAAACCCACACAAAACAAAAAACAAAGCTAGATCGGCAAGGGTATGGTGAAGATCCGAGGTGAAAGAACGGAGGTAATGGTGGCGATGGTGGATCTGCAGAAAGGAGAAAAATCAAGGTTTTTTTTTTTTCTGTTTTCTCCTTCTTTTTTTTTTTTTGGGTTTGGCTGCTTTGGCAGCTGCACCTCTCCTTCTCCCTTTAAAAGAGAGGAAATTAGGGTTTTGTTAAATTTGGGTTTTGATGGGCTGCTCAATATTGGGCTGGGCTTATGGTTTATGGTTTGTTTTAGTAAATTTCATCCTCAGCTTTTTAATTTTTTCAATTTAGTCCTTTTCTTGTTTTTTTTCTTCAACTTCTCCTCCAAATTTTTCATAAAATTTTTTTATAACGATAAATCCGAAACGGTACGCGAAAAATTTTGGTATCTGATACGTACCGTTTCAATAACAAAATCGATACGCATATCAGTACGGTATTGACTACTTTGCTATTTATACTTCACTTGCATAAATAAATATTAACATGTCATTACTTAC